TAAAAATTTGCTATCTTATCGAGCATGTCAAAATATTTGTAGAAAACGTGCTGCAGTTTCATGTGATTCTGTAAATAGATTTTGTAGTAATTTAGAAGAAACTATAAAAAATATTTTGCCTCAAAATATAATAAACTATGATGAAATAAATCTTTCTGATGACTCAAAATCAAAACAAATGGTATTCCGAAAGGGTACTAAACATGCTGAACGAGTTATGAATACATCAAAGTCATCAGTGTCTATTATGTTTGCATGTTTTGCTGATGGTGTATTTCTTCCTCCATATACAGTGTATAAAGTTGAGCGTCTAATGGACACATGGATACTTGGAGGTACAATGGGTGCACGATAAAACTGAACAAAGTCTGGTTGGTTTGATAGTCACTTTTATAGATTGGATGTAAACATTAGTAATACCTTACTTCAGACATGTTGACAGTGGCGCACCAAAAATTCTCATTGGGGATAATTTAGCATGCCATTTGTCTATTTAGGTTATAGAAATTTGTGAGGCTAATAATATTATGATGGTCTTTTCACCTCCAAACAGTACACATTTGCTACAACCTCTAGATCTTGCAGTTTATGGACCCATAAAATCAATATGGAGAAAAGTGCTTAATGCATCGAAAATTGGGGAAGGGAGGTTTCATACATCCCTACCAAAAAATGTTTTCCCGAGAATGCTCCTTAATCTAATATCTAATATGGACCACATACAAGAGTTTGCTGTAAATGGGTTTAAAACATCTGGTATCTACCCGCTAAACAGAAAAAAAATTATTGATAAGATTTTAAGAGCAGACATTTCTACATTCTCTCAAAACTTAGTATCCCCATTAGTTCTTGAACGTCTTAAAGAACTTAGAGAAGCATGTGCTAAAAAGCCTGGGGCAGTGTTGCAGGGGAAAAAAGTCAAGGTTTCACCGGGAAAAAGTGTTTCACTGGATGATGTTGCAGTTTCTTCTGTTTTAAAATTCCAATCAAAACGCAAGCTAATCAAAATAAAAAATATCCTTTTGAACAACTCCTTAGATAAAATAACTTCTTCATTAGATATGGATAGTTTTAAAGATATTATCGTTTATGATATGCGTTCCAGCTCCAAGATGTATATAGAGCTACAAGAAGATTTTTCAAAAAAATCTGAGGGTTTACAGAAAGTCAAAAGTAAAATGTTAAAAAAAAAGATTTATTTGCTAAAAAAAGTAATTTATATAATGGTGTTTCTGGCCTTTATGGTTCCATTTTCCATCAAAAGCAAACACATATCCAAAAAAAGCTTGAAGGCTGC